GCGGGAAGCCTGCTTCTCCCTCTCCCACTCCCCCTGCTTGTCTTCCCTCTCTCTGTGTCTCTCTCTGTCAAATAGATAAGTGAAATCTTAAAAAAAAAAAAAAAAGAATCTGTGCTAATCTATGCTGCCTGTTCAGTATTTTACTTTGTCTTTTATTTAAACTGGCTCACTGATTTTTAAAATTATTTATTTTACTTAAATCAACTTAGCTTATTTTTTTTTTTTAAAGATTTTATTTATTTTAGAGAGAGTGCAAGCACAAGTGGGAGGGGCAGAGGGAGAGGGCAATAGTGTCTTAAGCAGACTCCACGCTGAGTGCGGAGCCGGACGTGGGGCTCGATCCCAGGATCCCTGAGATTTCAACCTGAGCCAAGACCAAGAGTCGTATCTCTACCAGCTGCGCCACCCAGGTGCCCCTAAATCAACCTAGGGGCGCCTGGGTGGCTCAGTCATTAAGCGTCTGCCTTCGGCTCAGGTCATGGTCCCAGGGTCCTGGGATCGAGCCCCGCATCGGGCTCCCCGCTCCGCGGGAGGCCTGCTTCTCCCTCTCCTACTCCCCTTGCTTGTGTTCCCTCTCTCTCTGTCAAATAAATAAAATCTTTAAAAAAAAAAAAAAGGGCATTCTGTGTGACTGCCATAAATAGGAGTGGGGCACTGCTGTAAGAAAGGAGACACTTTAGAACAAAGCTGACTGTATCTCGCTCTTCGGAACATACACGACCAACGACAGTAATAACAGCTGCTATGTGTTGAGCTCTTCCTGTGTGCTATAAGGCCCCAAGTTCCTTCTGTGTATCTGTTAGCTGAGCCCCACGGTTACCCCCAGGAGGTGTGGGGGATCGCCTGCAGGGGTGGGGAGTGGGGACTCAGACCAGCACTTGGACCTGGGGAGGGGGTCTGAGCAGGGTGGCTGGGAGAAGGCAGAGGGTCCTGTTGCTCCCAGCATTCTGTGGGAATGGACATGCTGGTGTGAGGGTGTCTGGTTGTGCATTTGAGAGGCAGCAAGCACCTAGACCTGGACATACTCTGCCCAACTCCATTCCCAGCTGTGTAATCCTGGGCCAGTGGCTTATTGGGCCTCAGTTTTCTCATCTGTGAAATGGGGTGGGTGGACGTAGGACTTATTTTGTGGGGCATTAAGAGGATTAAAGGAGAGATGCCCGCCCAGGACCTTGCACAGAGGAGTTGTGCTTCGTGTTTGTTATTAACGTGTGTGTGTGTCCCTCCTTGCCTGCCTCCCAGTGGGTATGTGTCTGTCTGTCCTGTCTGCTGTGTGAAGCAGGCCCAGGCCTGGTCTCTCACTGTGTCCTCTCTCTCTCTCCCAACCGTAGTCTGCCCGTTCCCGTCACCCTGGGCACTGGGGGGATGGCCACCCAGCTGCTGACTGACGAGGCCCTGGTAAGTCATGTTACCCTCTCACACTCCATTCCAGAGGCTCAAGCCCAAGGGGCAGGACTTCTGCCCAGGGATGACCCTCTGACTCCCAAGCCCCTGTGGAGCTCACCTACTGGGCTGTCTCCAGGGGCCTGTGTCTGCCCTGAGGAGGGAGGGTCACATGCATGAGTGCTGCTCTCCTCTGCTCTGCCCTTCCGGGCTCGGCAGCCCCTTGCCTGCCCCTGACACTGGCTTCTGTCAGCCAAGGGGGACAGGGCAGCTTGGGAAGGACCGGCTCTGTTCTCGGGGGCTTTCAGGAGACAAATGGGCAACTGGGAAGTGGTGGTTTAAACACATCACATCAAGTGTGAAAAAGGCCCCTGCAGAGGGGCCTGGGCAGCATGCTGTACCAGACGCGTGAATGTCGCTTATGAACACCCACACGTGTGGTGAAAGGACAAAACACGGGCTGGAACAAGGCCCGCATGCACACTTAAGACAGCGGTCACCTCTGGGGAGAGGGAGGAGGACACCACGGGGTAGGGCAGCTGGGCGTCTGCGGCTCTCGCTAGTAGGTTTTATGCTTCAGTGTATGGTTGTTTGTTGTGTTTTTCTCTAAATTTCCTTTTATGCCAGAAATATTTCATAATAAAAAAATTACATGTAAATATTCCTTCTAGAAAACTGGGAAAACCCAGTAAACTGTAGGTAAGACAATATAATTCACCCATAGTCCCTTTCCCCATAGATAAACCATATGGATATTTGTGTATTCATTTATTTTCTTCCTTCTCTGATTATTATTTTAAAAAATTGACCAAGTATTGGCTCTGCCATTTTAATATTGAGATTCCCCCCCTCCCCATGCCAACTTTAATCGATAAGGATTGCCCTTATTTTGAAACTTCATAAGCTTTGCAAACATCGCTTGTTTGGCTGCATAGTCATCTGGTGAGTTTGACTTTTTAAAAAAAAAATTTTGATGCTGTAAATAGTCTATCATAAAAGTAAAAGAAAATTCCTGGTAGGTAAGGAAATGCATAATCATTATAAAGAGCTTAGAAAAGTCCAGAAGAACGCAGTGGAGAGAATGGGATTGACCTGCGATCTTGCACCAGGAGATAACCTCTCTTGAATGTTTGGGTGTCTTTCTTTCCCTGGGTACATGTTTTGCAAAAATGAGAATCACCCTGGCTAAGTAGTTTTTATATCCTGTTTTTTTTTGTTGAAGATTTAATCCTAAGCAATTCTCCTCGTAGTTAAAGGCTCCCTGTAACATCCATTTTAATGGCTATGTAAGAATTTCGTCTAAGAGCTGTAGCTGGCTTCCTTTGTGGTTCCCTTGTTGTGGGACGTTTATTGCTTTCCAGTTACTCGTGGTTACGAACAATGTCAGGAGGGACACGGCTGGCGCGTAAGTCTTTCTCTGCATTTCGTGTGATTTCTTAGGCGTGCTTCCTTGAGGAGGAATCCCGGGTTGGATGTTTCAGAGGCCTTCCATGAGGCTCCTAGCGCTTTTCCCACTGGCGGTAGCAGTATGTGTGTGTTCCCCGCCAGGCTGGAGGAGAGGTTTCCGCGGGCTGTTGTCAGAATATCTTCTGCACGTGGGATATAAATGACACATGGTGTTGACCTTGAGCATGATGGGTGAGCTTGAGTAGCATTGTCTGTATTATGGGTGAGGGTCTATTTTCAGGAAATGTTTGTTAGCCATTTCTGCAGGCGGGTAGATATCTGTCTTGCGCTTTACCAGTCTACAGGACTCTCAGTATCCTTGAAATTTTAAGTGTGTGTGTGTGTGTGTAAATGGTCGTGGCAAATATTCTTCCCAGGCTCGCTCTTTGTTTCTTCATTTATTCTATATTTTTAAATTACAAAAGCATTTCAGATCTTTAAAACCAAATCTGCCTCTCCCTCCATGGTGACATTGTTGACTTTAAAGGTCTCTCTGTTCGCAGGTCATACATGACCTGTATTTTCTTCCTTTTTTCCATTTATCATTTGGATAATAACCGCGACTTTTGAATCTTTTGTATCTACGTGAAATTTAATTTGCTGTACGAACGTGTCAGTTTACTTGTCTGTGACTTTCGGTTTGTCATGTCTTCATTTAGGTAACCCCTTTATTGGGACGCACTCTGCCTACCACACCATATACAGTTCATTGGTTTATGGTCTAATCACAGAGCTGTGCGGTGGTCACCGCAGTCAGTTCTAGAACATTTTCATAAGGCAAACAGGAAATGTGTGCCCATTAACACTTGTTCCCATTTCCCCCATTGGTCCCCTGGCCCTGGCAACCACTAATCTACTCTCTTCCTCTGCGAATTTTCATATTTGGGATGTTTCATGTAAATGAAATCACACACTGTGTGATCTTTTGTATCTGCCTCTCAGCATGATGCTTTTGAGGTTCCTTCATGTGGTAGCACGTGCAAATGCTTCCTTCCTTTTCAGGGCTGAGTAATATTCCACGGCGTGGAGAGAGCATGTTTGTTCACTCATTCATCAGCTGATGGACATTTGGGTTGTTTCCACTTTCTGGTTATTGTTAGTAATGCTGCAGTGACCGTTACAAGTTTTTTTGTTTGAACCCAAGTCCTCCTTTCTCTTGGGTACAGACCCAGGAGTGGGGTTGCTGTGTTTAACCATTGAAGGAACTGTCGGCCTCTTTTCCAAAGCGGCTGCACCATAATGTCTTCATTTTTAACTTCTCTGTGGTGGTTGTCTCGATTTGTTCTTTTACCTACATTATATAGGAGGACTCTGAGAGCTTGGGTGCCTTCGGTGTTGAGCTTCACTTCTAGGGGAGGTCTCCTCGACCCCCTGCTGTCTGCCCTCCCAGCATCCTTTGCGGTAAGGCATGGGCTCCAAGACTTCCAAGACCATCCATTGTGGTTTGGGTGTATTTTTGTGCACCCCCAGCCAGGCTTGGTGTATGGTACATGCCTAGTAAATAGTTGATTTATTGAGTGAGTTGAGATGGAACATGCTTAGGCAAGACTTTCTGAAAGAATTACTACATAAAAAATTAAAATAAATTTTAAATGGGGGCAGGAGGAAACTTGTGGAAGTGATGGATAAGTTTAAGATTGTGGTGGTGGGGGCGCCTGGGTGGCTCAGTCGTTCAGCGTCTGCCTTCGGCTCGGGTCATGGTCCCAGGGTCCTGGGATCGAGCCCCGCATCGGGCTCCCTGCTCAGCGGGAAGCCTGCTTCTCCCTCTCCCACTCCCCCTGCTTGTGTTCCCTCTCTCGCTGTGTCTCTCTCTGTCAAATAAATAAAATCTTTAAAAAAAAAAAAAAAGATGGTGGTGGTGATTACATGGGTGTATACTTTCCAAACTTACCAAATTGTATTAATTAATATTCACAGCTTTTTGTATGGCAACCATACCTCAATAAAGTGGGTTTTTTTTAAAAGAAGGAATTATTAGCAGGACTGGCCAAAGGTTGTATTAGGTCAAAGAATCAAGTAATAATAGCATATAATAATAACAACTATTATTAATAATAAAAAGTATATAAGATATATATGAAACATCAAAATTAATCAAATGATGATTAGCAAAAGTTGGCATTCATCAAGAGCTTACTCCAGCTGTACGGGACACCATGCTGGAAGCCTACATACATTACCTCACTCAACACCCCTGACAGCCACGGAGGGGGACATTGTTGTTACGAAGCCCCCTGAACAAATGAGGCTCAGAAAGGTTGAGACAGTAGCCCAAGGAAACACAGCCTAGGAGGGACAGAGCCAGGATTTCATTGCAGGCTACCAGACTCCCAAGTCCAAACCCTTAGCCGCCGCTGCACGCTGCATCTGCATCGAGCGATGGTGGCCCCTGAGACAGGGAGGCCAGTGTGAGCCCGGGGCGCTGGGCAGGCACTGGGGACAAGGGAAGAACTGGCCAAGGGATGAGGTCTCCTCCCAGGGAGGATGAGCCGTGGTTCAGGGTCCGGGCTGGGGGTGGTGCTCAGCACACTGGAGGGAGCCAAGGCCCTGTGGGCGGCAGTAACAGTATCTGATGGTTATTGAGCACCTGCTGTATGTATGTACTGTTCTGAGCAGCAAACATGGATTAACTTAATTCTCAGGCCCTCCTTATTCATTGATCCAGTTATTCATTCAAGAGCTATTTGTTGAGCGCCTACTAGAAGCCAGGCATTGTACAAAGCACTGGGGATATCGTAGTGAGCAGGATGGATGTGTTGGTTTGCTAAGGCAGCCATAACAAAGTACCACAGACCGGGGGTCACAGTGTAAATCCGTCTGCTCACAGTTCTGGGGGACAACGTCCCCAAGGTCAAGGTGTCGGCAGGGCCGTGCTTCCTCGGAAGGCCTAAGAGAGGGAGCGTTCCAGGTCTTCTTTCGAGCTTCTGGTAGTTCTGGGCTTGTGGCAGCATAATGCCAGTCTTCACACGGCATTCTCCCTGTGTGCGTGTCTGTGTCTAAATATCTCTTTTTTATGAGGACACCGGTCGTGTAGGATTAAGGGCCCACCCGACCCCAGTATGATTTCATCTTCACTCATTACATCTGCAATGTCCCTGTTTCCAAATAACATCCATTCTGAGGTGCTGGAGGTTTGGACTCCACATAGGACTTGGGGGTGGGCATAATTCAACGTACAGCAAGCGCTTTGAATAGGACCCAGCCCACAGCAACTGCACAGTAAGTGATAGGTCTTGTCGCCGTGGTGGTTGACATCATCACCATCATCATTACCTACTGTGCTACAGAATATTCATTTTATCCACAGGGTTTACAGCATCTGTTGGGAAGGCACCGAGGCTTCCACCCCAGGAACTCTCCACTGTTCCCCGTGGCCTAATCTGCAGCTTAAGCCTCAGGTCTTGATCCAGCCTCCCCCCCACAGACCCAACCATTCATTGTCCCCTCAGACTACATTCGGTGTCACCTTTCTGAAGTCTTCCTAGACACCCCCTAAAGCTGCCATTGCTCAGGGCGCCTGGAGGATTTTGTTCGTACCTTCACGGTGGTATTGACCAGATTGCTGGTCAGTCATGTATGTGTTCATGTACCTCGTCCATGAGGAGCTAGTACTTGAACTTTCTGTGTCATTTCCTAGCACCTAGCTCAGTGCCTGCAGCTCCATAGGGGCTCAGGACAGTGTGTGGAACTACTGGATTCCATCTAGGATTCTGCCTTTACCGGGCAACTAATGCACATGTCCATTCACAGGGTTATGATCATTATACCTTTGATTCCTTCTCTGTTTCCAAAGTGTGTGACTTTCTGCTCTAAACAGTCTTATATTTGTTTTATTTCTCTGTCAGAGGACCATCCCACTATAAGTAGGCACCAAGAACACTGAGGGGTTGGTCCCTTCAGAACTCCGCACCTTCTTGAAATCACTCCAGAGACATCCCGTCTGCCTCCCCTAAATCCTCTTGGCTTTTCTGGCCTTTTGTCGAGACCTCTGTGAGCAGGGCCCTGCGGTGAGTGGTTGTGGGTTTCCTCTTACAGGAATCAGTGACGTTCAGGGATGTGACAGTGGACTTCACCCAGGAGGAGTGGCAGCAGTTGGAGCCTGCCCAGAAGGACCTGTACAGAGATGTGATGCTGGAGAACTACAGGAACCTGGTCTCTCTGGGTAAGGGGGCAGCTTCAATGAATTACTCACCATCGGCCTGTCACTTGAGGACTACAAAGAAATAAGAAAAAGGATGGACAGATTTGACTATGTAGAAAGTTTAAAGATAAAAATAAAGTTGATAGGTAATGAAATGGGGGAATAATATTCACCACATGTGTAATAGTCAAAGGATTATAATTATATAAAGAGCTCCTAGGAATAAACAAGAATGAAACAAGAAACAATGATAGAAAGGTAGACCAAACATAGGAGCTGGCCGTTCATAAATGTAGAAGTACACAAAAATCACAGTTTATAAAAGATTTTTAAACCTTACCAATAGTCAAAGAAATACATATCAAGTCAAAGAAATACAGTTTTGGCCCATAAGGAATGGTAATAGCCTGTATTGTGAGGGTGTAGGGAAAAAGACTTCCCCATTTTAGGAGTATAAAATTGGGACAGCAATTTTGGAGGACAGTTTGAGCATTATCAGCCAAATTTTGAACGGTTCTATTTTTAGGGATCTGTCCTTTAGATATCTTCCTGTGAGTGTGCAAACTTTTACACAGGAAGAAAAGGAGAAATGACCTAAATGCCCACCCACACAAGACTGACTAAACACATCAAATCATACCAGTATGATGGAAACCATGTAGGTCTTCAAAGATGAGCACTCTTTGTAGACGCTGACATGGAAAGATATCCCTTGATACAGTGTTAGGTCAAAACCACTAACTTCCAGACCGAGAATATGTCCCATTTCTCTTACAGCTTTCATGGAAGTATAATTGACCGTTAACTGCACGTATTTAAAATGGACAATCTGATGCATTTTGACATCTGTATACACCCAGGGGGAAGCCATCACCATGATCCAGATAATGAACATGTCCATTACCCCTTTTAGTATCTCCCTGTGCTTCCTGCACCCACCCTCCCTTCCCCGGGCAACCACTTTATGTGTAAGTGCTTTACGGCACTGTGGTTTAATTTGCATATTCTGGAATTTTACATATACACACTCATACAGCATGTACTCTTTTTTTTTTTTTTTTGGTCTGATTTCTTTCACTCGGCATAATTATTTTGAGGTTCACTCATGTTGTATGTATCAGGAGTTCACTTCTCTTTATTGCTGAGTAATGTTCTACTTCATGGATAGACCATGATTTGCTTATCCATTCACTTCTTGATGGACATTTGGGTTGTCTCCAGTTCTGAGCTGCCACCAATAAAGCTGCTATGAACCCGTGTGTACAGCGTTCACTGTGGACCTATGCTTTCCTTTCTTTTGAGCAAACACCGGGGAGTAGAATGGTTGAATCACATGGTAGGCGTATCTTAACCTTTCAGGAAACTGCCAGACTTTTTTCCAAAGCAGTGGTACCATTTTACATTTCCGCCAGCAGAGCCCGCAAGCTCCAGGTGCTCCATGTGATTGTCAAAGCTTTGCATGCGCAGTCTTTGTCATTTTAGCCATTCTCGGGGGTGTGCGCTGTTGTTGTTGTGTGTGCTTTTGGTGTCCTGTCTGAGAGACTGTTGCCTGACCCAAGGCCGCTAAGATTCACTCCTGTGTTTTCTTCTAAGACTTTTGTAATTTTGGCTCTTCATTTAGGTCTTTGGTCCATTTTGAGTTAATTTTCATGAATTGTGTAGGAAAGGGATCTAATGTCACTCTTGCGTGTGGGTATCCAAGTGCCCCGGCACTAATTGCTGAAGAGCCGGAGGTTTTCATTGGATGTAGTCCGATTTATCAGTCATTTTCCTCTGGGATCATGCTTTTGATGTCATATCTAAGAAATCTCTGCTTATCTCAAGGCCACAAAGCTTTTCTTCTATAAGTCGTATAATTTTAGGTTATGTGTTTTGTTCTGTGATCCCTCTAGAGTTAATTTTTATAATGACGCAAAGTGTTAATTGAAGCTCTTTTTTTTTCATCAAACAAATATCCAGTTGTTCTACCACCATTTGTTGAAAAGACTGCACTTTTCCACTGGAAAAATTTCCTTTGCATGTCCGTCAAAAATCAGTTGTCCATGTATGTATGTGTGGGTCTCATTCTGGGCTGTGTTCTGTCTCCTCCATCTGTGTCTGTTTTGACACCAGCACTGTATCATTTGATCTGCTCTCAGTTTCTGCCTTTATGACCTGGGCTCAGGTAGCTTGCTGTCCTCGTGACCCCCTGGAGTGTCCTACCCAGTGCCTGTGAATTACATGGTATGGGTTTCGTGCCTGGCTGGTGTGAGGCACTGTTCCCAGCCTCGATCGGCTCTGGGTACATTTTCAAATCCTTCTGGGTGTTTTTTCCCAAGCTTGGGTGGTTTCCATGTCTGCAGTCCTGACCAGGAATCTGATGCTGGGGGAAGGACCTCGCAGATCTCCAGAGCGCTCTCTCTGCTCAGGGCATCTGCTGGGCGTTGCCTCGCCCTCCCTCCCCACTCCCCAAGGCTCCACCCGAAGCCTGCAGCCTTTCCCATGAGTAAGCTGGGTGGTCCTAGGGCCTGCCTCTCTGATCCCACCTCTCAGGTAACATTGCCCTTTATTGTCAGATGTCTTACAACTTTTGTTTTATATATTTTGTCCTCCCCCCGTACCCTTTCCCTTTGCTTTAGGCTGTAGGCTGAAGGGAAATCTGACCCCTGTTACTCTATCTGGGCCAGAAGCCCCATTTGAGGGGGAAAAAGTGTGCATTCATATGTATGTGTGCATACAAGTGTGTTGTATGCACTTTTTAAAAAAGGTGTACACTGGGGAGAAAGTTCTAAAAATGCACACCAAACGGTTAACACAGGTGAGATTGCAGGAGACTTCCATTTTGTTATTTTTTGATGTTTGATGTTTAATTACAAGTGTGAATTACTTGGTGATCCGAAACAATCGTAGAAATACAGAATATGAGAAAAGAAACTATAAAAGACAAGAAATCTAGTACCACAAAAACATCCCTATTTAGACCAAAAGGAATGAATAGCGTTTTGCACGTGAGTAGCTTTTTGCCAAAGTGACCTCTGCAGACATCGTCCTGTTAGCATTGCCCTCGACTGCAGCAAGGATGCCCACATCCCCGCCCTGCACCAGCCGCACGTCCTCCGTGCTCTGCTGTCTGCCAGTCTTGTTGGTGAAACGCCATGTGGCCGGTTGGTTTAATTTGGCTGACGTTGAGCTGTGTATTCACAGCTTCTCACAGCTAAGAGCTGAGTGTTTGCTTTTCTTTTCTTTTTTTTTTTTTTTTAAGATTTTGTTTTATTTATTTGACAAAGAGACACAGCGAGAGAGGGAACACAAGCAGGGGGAGTGGGAGAGGGAGAAGCAGGCTTCCCGCCGAGCAGGGAGCCCGACGCAGGGCTCAATCCCAGGACCCTGGGATCATGACCTGAGCCGAAGGCAGATGCTTAACGACTGAGCCACCCAGGCGCCCCGAGTGTTTGCTTTTCTGCAAACGATCTCTCCTGACGGCTTTTAATCCATGAAAGGGAGGCTGTCTCCTTTCCCCTGCCCGCTTAGATTGCAGGGTGTGCTGGCATTCTGCCTCCGGTCTCCTGACTTCTCAAGTTAGTATTTGCTCCAAAGGACTTTCAACTGTTTTCACAGCTGAGACTGCCCGCTTTGATCTCTGCAGCCACGGCTAGTTGATATCCCAGGCCAGTTGATATCCCAGCGCCTCTCAGTCCCCATTGGCCCCACCCCGATTTGCCATCCCCCTTCCCGTCCCCACCCCACAGCCTTCACATCCCATGCCATCATCTGCCCTAACAGCTGAGCATCACGCATACCCCAAGGTGACTAAGCCACAATCATTCCCCTACCTTCAGTATTTCTCAAATCTTTTCCTCTGGGATAGGAACACAACTCACAGCAAAACAGTGACTCATCAGGGCATATGGCTCTGGGATCAGACTGCTAGAATCCCAGCTCTGCCTCGAATGTGCTGTGACCTTGAGTTTGTCACTTGCTTCTCAGACCCTCAGTTCCCTCGTCTGTAAAATGGGCACAACCTTAAGAGTACCTAACTCGCATGTTGTTGTCAGGGCTGCATGGAATGATCCATGCAGATGGCTTAGCGCCGCACCAGGCACGTTGCCCAGTGAATGTTCATTGGACAGCTTCTGTGTGCCAGGCACTGCTGCAGGAGCTGGGCCCCGACAAGGTCCGTGGCCTCATGGAGCTCCCTTTCCATAGGGCAGCTGGCAATAAACAGATCCAGGGACAGACGAAAGTTGCCACAGATCATAATGAGCACCTACAATGAAACAGGCAAGAGAGTAGCAGGAGGGGTGTTCCTTTCCACCGTGGGATGGACAGGGAAGGCCTCCCTGTGGAGGATGTTAGCTCAGGGCTGAAGGATGAGCACCGTTGGGAAGGTGGGGTGGGGTGGTGGCACGTGCAAAGGCCCCGAGGCAGGAAGCACTTGGCATGGACAGCTTGTCAGGGAAGAAAAAGGGAACCACAGGGCAAGTCTGGCTGACAGCAGGTGAGCAGGGTTGGGTGTTGGGAGACAGGTTAGGAGAGGGGGGCCTGGCTCTGTGCTGAGGACACTGTAGGCCGGGGAAGGCACTGGCTTTGATTCTCAGCACACCAGGAAGACACTGGAGGGTTTGGTCTGACTCTTAAGAAGATCCTCTTGCTGCTGAGTGGAAAATGCATCGTAGAGGGGTGAGGGTGGTCGGTCTTGCTGCATTTCGGCTAGGAAATCCGGGGTGCCAACTGGATCACTGGCAGGGGTGATGGCAAGATTTGATCTAGTCCAAGCTGTTGTGCGCGTCCAGTGGCACTTGCTAGCAGTCTGGATGGCGGGAGAAGAGGGGTGAATCAAGGGGGACTGCTACGTCTTTTTTTTATTTAATTTTTTAAAGTGGTAAGATAGACCTAAAATTTACCATTTTAACCATTTTTAGGTGTACAGTTCAGTGATGTCGAGTACACTCACACTGATGTGCAACCACCACCATCCATTCACAGAGCTCTTTTCATCTCGCAAAACCGAAGTTCTGTCTCCATTAAAACGCTGTCTCCCCACCCTGTCGCCCAGCCCCCAGCGCCAGGGTCTACTTTCCGTCTCTGTGAATGTGATGACTCCAGGGACCTCACAAGGACTGGAGTCATACAGTATTGGGCCTTCTGTGTCTGACTGACTTTGCTAAGGCTCTTTGATGAGGCTCTCGTTGTATCGTTGATTCTGGAAGGGGCCGGGGTTCCCAAACCACAGGTTCTGAATGAGACGTACTAGGCTAGCAGTATCCAAGAGGGACACCAAGTGGGCTTTCGAATATTCGTCAGCAGAGCCCAGAGGAGGTCTGGGCTGGAGGTGCAAATTTGGGAGGCGTCAGCATATGGAAGATCCTGAAATCCAGACTCCCCTGGCATGGCCCGCCGTGACTTAGGGGAGGGGTCTCAGATGCCAGGGGTTGTGGGCTAGGTCGGGCTTTAAACGGGGCAGCAGGAACTCCTGCCGCCTTACCCCTGCTTCTGGTTCCTCGTAGGAAGGAGGGGATTGGAGCTGCAGCATGGCTGGGACTACCAGGCGGGGACGGATGTGCAGAGGCAAGAGGGTGTGGAACCAGCTCGAAGGGACACCTGCAGCTCCGGGACTGGGCAGCGGGGGAGGGGAGTGAGGGGCACTGGGCGGGACAGGGGAGGACGGAGCTTGGCTGGCCTCGGAGGACGACCAGCATGTGCCACCCAGATGTCGGCTGTCATCTTACCATTTCTAACAAAAATTGGTGCTTTGGGAAGCCTAAGTGGTGGGGGATATTCAGGATGAACCCTGGAAGTAGGGAACCCGTTGCAGTAAGTCCTTGCTCCGGTTTGCAAGAGCCTCTGGTCCGCTCCGTCCAAGCCGGCTTACCTCCTGTCGTCTCTCTTCAGACGGCTCTCTCTCCTCGGCGCTCCCGCTCGCTCCCGTCTGCCGCCGTCCTTTTCACCACTCTCCCGGAGGGACACTTCCTGTTCCCTCTGCTCCCCTCCTGTCGCTTCTGCTTCCTTCAGCCACCTTTGTCACCAGCTCATTGCTTCCCCTCGGATCAGCAGGTTGTCATTTGCATCTCCATCCGTGCCCTGCTGTGTCTCTGATTTCGTGTACTCATCCATCCCTGGCTTTGGAGGTTCCTTACTCCCAGCATTGTTAACTCCATGCATTTCGTCTTCTCTTTCCCCTCCCCCCAGACTTGGAGACTAGACCTGAAATGAAGGAGTCGGGTCCAAAGGAGGACAGTGCGGAAGACAGACCGTCCGTTGGGGTGGGACCCCCGAGAAATGGTGCCCGCGGTCTGGCCTCTGAAGGAGCGTGGACACAGGGTGACTGGGTGGAGGGGCAGCTGGGAAACAGAAAGACCTGCCTGGAGCAGTCGGAGGCTTCCCAGGAGCTCACCCCCGCGTGCCGGGAATTTAAGGCATTCACCCGCCAGAGCTCCGGCCCGGTCCCACCACGGTCGGAAGGCCCAAGGGAAGAGGGGACCCGGCCGTTGGTCACGCATGGGAAGACGTTCCTGAGGGCCCCGGACCTCAGCCGGCCGCCCAGACTCGACGTGGAGAAGAAATCCTACGACTGCAGCGCCTGTGGCAAGGCTTTCAGCCGGAGCTCATCCCTGATGAAGCACCAGCGGATCCACACGGGAGAGAAGCCCTTTGAATGTGACGTCTGTGGGAAGCACTTCATTGAGCGGTCGTCCCTCACCATCCACCGGAGAGTTCACACCGGAGAGAAGCCCTACCGGTGCGGGGACTGCGGCAAGGCCTTCAGCCAGCGCATGAACCTGATCGTGCACCAGAGGACGCACACGGGCGAGAAGCCCTACGTGTGCGACGTGTGCGGGAAGGCTTTCCGCAAGACCTCGTCGCTCGCGCAGCATGAGCGGATCCACACGGGGGAGAAGCCCTATGCGTGCGGGGACTGCGGCAAGGCCTTCAGCCAGAACATGCACCTCATCGTGCACCAGAGGACGCACACGGGCGAGAAGCCCTACGTGTGCGACGTGTGCGGCCGCGCCTTCAGCCAGAACATGCACCTGACCGAGCACCAGAGGACGCACACGGGCGAGAAGCCCTACGCATGCAAGGAGTGCGGGAAGGCCTTCAACAAGAGCTCGTCCCTCACTCTGCACCAGAGGAACCACACGGGCGAGAAGCCCTACGTGTGCGGCGAGTGCGGCAAGGCCTTCAGCCAGAGCTCCTACCTCATCCAGCACCAGCGGTTCCACATCGGCGTGAAGCCCTTTGAGTGTAACGCGTGCGGGAAGGCCTTCAGCAAGAACTCGTCCCTCACCCAGCACCAGCGGATCCACACCGGGGAGAAGCCCTATGAGTGCTACATCTGCAAGAAGCACTTCACGGGGCGCTCGTCCCTCATCGTGCACCAGATGGGCCACAGCGGGGAGAAGCCGTACGCCTGCGGTGAGTGCGGGAAGGCCTTCAGCCAGAGCGCCTACCTCATCGAGCACCAGCGGATCCACACCGGGGAGAAGCCCTACAAGTGCGGCCAGTGTGGCAAGGCCTTCATCAAGAACTCTTCGCTCACGGTCCACCAGAGAATCCACACGGGGGAGAAGCCGTACAAGTGCAGCGAGTGTGGGAGAACCTTCAGCCGGAACACCAACCTCACGCGCCATCTGAGGATCCACACCTAGGGGCGGCCTGGGGGGCACCTCGTCCTGTGGCCTTCCTTCAGGGGCCTCAGAGTCCGCACCAGGAGGGGTGGGATCCTTCACACCCGCCGGCAGCACGAGAAGTTCTGACAGGGTCGCCCACGGGTAGCACCACGGGTTAGAGGAGTCCCGCCCCGGACGGGCCTTACGGATGGGGACTTGTGGACAGGCCCCTCCCTACGGGGCACCTGCACGTCCACAGCAGAGCAAGTCCCTCGTGTCTAACGCACTTGGGACCATGCTCAGGGGCACTGTGGCTGGAAACTCGCAGGAGCTCCAGGAGCCCGGGCATCAGGGTTCCAGGCCGTGGGAATGAACTGTAAGAGCTGGCACAAGGTTATTTAGTGTCTCTGGGGCGACACTCAGTAGGAAAATGCAGGAGGGGGCTGGGGGCGGAGGTGGACTCGATAAGTGAACGTGGGGACATTTCTGGACCCTAGATCTGGTCCAGATGTTAGGTCTCACCCTCCACGAATTCCCTCCTGGGGTGGAAGCCAGAGGGGCCCTCCCTCCGTCCGTCCCCAAGCCACCGAGCCAGAGAAGCTGGCAAGTTGTAAGTGGGCGGAAAACGTGGTTTTCAACATCAGCAAACAACAGTAAGCACTTCAGATGCCGAAGTTTCTCAGAGTCTGTTAAATTTTTTAAAAATAAAACTTTTAATTAAGAGAGACTGGTGTAATTTTAAATAGTTGTCAGGTGCAAAAGACCCAGGCACCAGTGGTCCCCAAAATCCGCCTCAGTGCCTGTGGGAGAGGGGGAGGGCAGGCGAACCCCAGCAGGCCTGATACTCAGGGTTAAGTACTTGCTTAGCTTAGTAAGTTTGCGTATCTGAGCACACACTGCCCGTTTTTATAGTGATTTTTGCAGTTAAATTTGAAGGCAGCTCCAAGGGAGTTTCCTAAGGCTGACCTGACATTTGGTTTACACAGGGATCTCCCCCAGAGTCTCCTTTCTCAGGGCCTTTGACGCCGCCCTTTCTGTTTTAACATTCGATCCTACTTGTCGCAAATGTCCCGGTGTTTCCAACACCGGTGTCCACAAGGAGTAAACAATTCATTTAAGAAATCGTTTATATCAGTAAGCACTTTGTGTTGTGAGTACGAAAAGCAGCTGCTCGAGAGTGCATAATCAAGGCGATGGCTTTTCGGATGGATGTCTGGCAGCCAGGTGGGCATCAGGGTAGTTTTGTTCCACATGCGGCATCAGGAGCGTAGCTCTGGTGCTCTGGTTCTTGGGCTTTCCCATCCTGGGCCGGCCTCATCCTCAGGCTGGCTTCCCTCAGGGTTTCCTGGTGGTTTCCAGCACATTGTCTCAGACACGTCCCGGTGGACGCAGACCTCTTGGCAGTGACACGAAGGCCCGAAGCTTCATTCTGTGGGCTCACCCACGAACAGATTGCCGTGACCAGAGAAACTCCGTGTGCGGATGGGCCTAGATCTGGGTCTCTCCCTCATCCCTGAAATCGTGGCAGTGGCCCAGGGCCCAAGCTGCTGTGTGCCTGCCGTGGCCGTGGGGTCATTCCGTCCAGACCAGAGTCCAGGGGAAGAGGGAGGATACAGAGAAGGCAGCCCCGTGGCGTCATGCCACAGCGGGTGGACGGGGCTTAGAATGGCGTGGCCGCCCCGGCTTTAATCAGCGTGAGGTCTTGCTGCATGTGGCACTTCCTTTGGGAAATGCCATCAGTACCGTGGTGACCAGGAGGGCCCTCAGTCCCCTCTGTCATCGTCTGTACTCCCTTAACCCAGCCACAGGGCAGGGGCAGGGGCAGCAGGGGGTCGGCCAGGGGCGCCCCCAGGAGCTGAGAGATGCAGCCTCACGTGGTGGTGACTGTGTGTGTGTGTGGTCAGGAGGGGCGTGGGGAAGCTCGTCGCCTCTCCGGCCCTTCTGGGGGCTCATACCAGCAGCTGTTGTCTCCACGCCCCTGTGCTTCCTTCTGTCGTATCCCCTGCGAGGTAGCATCAGATCCCACAGGTGGAGGGCGCCCCCTGTGCACGGTTTCAGAGGCCATGCACAAGTGCAGACTGTCGCCTGTCCTGAGTGGCCGTGTGTGGGAGGCTCCCGGTCCACCCTCTGCTGGCATCCTACCCTGCTGGTGGGGGGAGGCCGTCCACCTCTTCCTGCTCCGTGTTCCCATGCCCGGCCCTGTGCTCTCCTGGAACAGTGCAGGGCAGGGAGCGGAGGGGTGAGGCAAGGAGCGGCAGCTCCCATTTCACTCATTGCCACCTCGTCCCTGAAAGTGGGACGGGAGGGGGGAAACTGAGGCCCGGGACAGGGACGGGCCCCAGCAGCACTCGTTCTACAGCAGGTCCCGCGCACCTGGGCGCAGTTCCCGAAGAAGCCGAGGATGGGGGTGCAGCCCCGAGCAGGGGTGAGCTCCCCGCATGCTGGAGCTGACATGCTAGGGCCACCAGGCAGCAGCGCACGGGCTAGAGAAGCCTGAGACACGGAGGTAGGCCGCGGGGGAGTGCATGGCGGCGGGAAAGCCGCAGAGCCAGCCAGCAGAGGTGCGAGGCCTGTTCAGGCTGGGTGGTCAGCAAGGCCGCTCAGGAGCGGACATCTGACAGAGGCCCGAAGACGCCGCGGGACCTTTAGCGACGCGGGTGAGATCCCCCCGAAGGGCCCAGAAGAGGGGATCCGAAGTTCACCACCGATCCTTATCATAAGGGGGCTGCGGGAGCACCTGTCACTATAGTTAGTGTGTGTCGAGCACCGGGCACGTGCCCAGGACGTGACGCAGACGCAGGTGTTCTCTCCACGTCATCCGGTGCGCAGGTGGGGAAGCCGAGGCTCAGGGAGGCTCAGAGGCTCGAGTAGATCGCACAGCCCGGACGTGAGGGCGCCGGGGGCGGTGTGTGGGCTGCATCCTGGCAGAGCCTGCACCCTGACCCCATGCAGGCCGCCCCCAGGGTTACCAGCCCCTCGCGCAGCCTTCACCAGACGCCCGAGAGGAAGACAAATCGTATTTTCATCATTTTATGTAACTTCCTGGAGTCATCAGAATGAGTTCGTACTTGGACGAATGTAGAACAGAACACAGGACTCCATACTCAAAGCGAGCACCTGCTGTTACTGTCACCGTCGATGAGAAACAAGCCCTCACTCCGTAAGTGAAGGCGAGGGGGCAGAATAATGGAGCCAGGAGGAACGGAGGCCCTGAAGCCAGACTGCCTGGGTTCAAATCCAGACTCTGCCCTTGCTGTGTGACTCTGGGCAAGTTTCTTAATCTCTCTGAGCCTGTTTCCTGGTAATACCAGTCCTCACCTTGTGCATTAGTTGTGGGGAATAACTGAGAGGATGTATGTACACCACGGAAAACAGTGCTGTGGACTGAATGGTTTGTGTCCCCTTGAGAGGTAATAGGAACATTCTGTATACATTTGTTCCTGGCACGGAGCTCCTGAGTCTCTTGGAATTTCCTTGCTGATACTGTGTCTTTTCTTCTGATGAGGTGACTCTGGTGGGCCCCTGGAGACACAAAGCCATGATTAGAAGCTGGGATTTTCAGTCCCCCACCCACCCCTTCTCTAGCGAGGGGAGAGAGGCTGGAAATGGAGTTAGTGATTGGCCCTGCCCAGGTGAGGAAGCCTCCACAAAATCCGGAAAGCACAGCATTCAGAGAGCTTCCCCTTGGTGAACACATCCACATACCGGGAGGGCCCCCTCCCCACCAGCTCCACAGGGACAGAAGCTCCCGCACTCGGGACCCGCCCAGACCTCGCCCCGCGTGCCTCCCCGTCCGGCCGCGTGTCCGCCCGCCCCGCGTACCTCCTCGTCCGGCTGTGCGTCTGCGTCCTTGGGTTGATCCTTTTATAATAAACCAGTGACCTAGTGAGTAAACTGTGTCTGAGTTCTGTGAGCCCCTCTAACAGGTTAAACCCAAGGACGGGGACTGAGAGCCTCCCACACACGGCCACTCAGGACAGGCGACAGTCTGCACTTGTGCATGGCCTCTGAAACCGTGCACAGGGGGCGCCCTCCACCTGTGGGATCTGATGCTACCTCCAGGTAGACAGTTGAGTCGAATTGTAGGACACCCAGCTGGTGTCAGAACTGCTGGGGGCGGGGGAACCCCCACACATCTGGTGCCCAGGAGAAGTGGGGTGTTTTTCTACTCATACTTACTATACATATTAATGCTTAAATATGAACATAACATAACACGTGATATATATAATACACATAATCTGTATAACATTGTATTATATAATCATACGGTAATTACTACAATAATTATATATCATATACATTATATATTTTATGTAATATATGTACTATATATATAAAATAAGATAATTTGGGGCATATATATAAGATATATACAATGTTAAAAATAGAGCTACCCTGTGACCCAGCAATTGCACTCCTGGGTATTTACCCCAAAGACACAGATGTAGTGAAAAGAAGGGTCAT